TTTCGAAAAATATTTCTAGGCATTGATAACTTTATTAGAAACGGTAGTGGATGGACAATAAAGCGTCTGAACTACATCGACATTCAAGTAGGCAATTTAAGGGAAATAAGAGGCGGATGTAAACACATAGAATTGCCAGCAAAAATTAGAAACAAAAAAGCGGTTTTAAACATTAATTGTTATGATAATAAATGCTTTTTGTATTCTGTTATCGCAAAACTATATCCAAGGAAACAGAATAAAAACACGTTAAATTATTATAAAAAATATTTGAGATGTCTTAAAATTAACGGGATAAAATTTCCGATTTCCTTAAGTGGAATTCAAAAATTTGAAAAGTTAAATGATTTAAAAATTATTGTATTTGCGTTTGAAGAAAATGAAATCTTTCCTTTAAGTATAAGCAAACAAAAAAATATCGACTTAATGAAAGAAATTGATTTACTTTTTTTTTGAAAATCATTTTTTTTTAATCACAAACTTAAATAGATTATTAAATGTTCGTAAAGGTATTCATCACTATTGTAAAAACTGTTTGTTAGGGTTTCAGCGAAAATGCAGTTTAGAAACCCACATAAAATTGTGCGAAGGCAAAGAACCTCAGAAAGTAAGCATCCCTCAAAATTTAGTAGTTAAATTCACTGACTTGTCTAAACAATTATATCATCCTTTTTGCATTTTTGCGGATTTCGAGTCTCTCACTAGAAAAGTTTCTTCTTCAGCTTTTCCGTCTGAGTTTCAGAGTTTTTCAGTAGCAGTAGAACACCACGAACCTATCAGCTATGCAATTCTTGTCACAAACATTAACGATGAAATAATATTTACGGAATACTACTCCGGAAATAATGTCATTAATAACTTTCTAAAAACTTTGAAATACCTATCACATAAATTGTTACAGAAAATGAAAAGGATTCTACCGATGGTGGAAAGCTCTGAAACTTATGACAGAAACTGTTGTCACATATGTCAAAAGCAATTTTTACCAAACGAGATACGCGTGTTCGAGATCACTGCCACTGGAGCGATGGACATATACGCGGATTAGCACACCAGACATTGCAATCTAAATTATAGATGTACATATTTTATTCCAGTGGTAATACATAATGCGCGTAATTACGATTCCCATTTAATTTTACGAAAATATGCCGAAAGATGTTTTCAAATGCATTAATATCACACCAGTAAATTTGGAAAAATTTACTATGTTTACTCTAGACGAAATCAAATTTTTGGATTCTTATCAATTTTTAGACGCTTCGCTAGATACATTAGTTGAGAACTTAAAAAAGTCCGAACACAAGTTCGAGATTTTTAATAGTTTTTTCAAAGATGAAACAAACAGATTTTTACTGCTGAGGAAAGGAGTATTCCCATACAGTTATCTGGATTCAGAAGCGGTTTTAAAGGAAACCTGCTTACCAGATAAAAGTGCTTTTTTTAATATTTTAACAAATAACCATATAACAGATGATGAATATGAACATGCACAACTCGTGTACAAAACATTTCACTGTGAAACAATAGGAGATTATTTAGAGCTTTATCAAAATGTTGATACTGTTCTACTAGCCGAAATATTTTCGGCCTTTCGCCGAATGTCCATGACGTACTATAATTTGGATCCCCTCCATTTCGTGACAGGAGCGGATCTCACATGGAATGCGGGATTGAAATATACAAAAGTAGAATTACAGCTATTCAGCAATGCCAACGATTACATGTGGATAGAATCACAAATGCGTGGGGGGATTTGTTTATTAGGCAAGCGACATGTAGTGGCTAATAATCCGTATACTTCAGATTATGACCCATACAAACCCCATAATTATATTTTAGCACTTGATGCTAACAATTTGTATGGATATGTCATGAGTCAGTCGCTACCATATGGACATTTCACATGGTTGACGACTGACGAAGTACGACATTTCGATATTTTGAACATCGATCCTAATTCAAGCGTTGGATATATTTTAGAGGTAGATCTCCTATATCCACCTGAATTGCATGATATCCACAATGATTTTCCGTTGGCCCCCAGAACATTTAACAATAACATATGACATGTTGTCTCCATATGCGAAAAAGATGTGCGACAAATTAAACATGAAAAGTGTTTTACCCTACAAAAAATTGACACCGATTTTTTTCGAAAAGAAAAATTATATATGTCATTATTTAAACTTAAAATTTTATCTTGAACAAGGACTTGTTTCTACAAAAGATACATAAGATTTTGGCTTTTTTCCCAATGCAAATGGTTAGAAAGCTATATAGCTTTTAATAACGATAAAAGAACGGCATCCGAAAATGATTTTGAAAAATCTTTCTTTAAAAAAATGAATAATAGTTTTTAATGGCAAAACATGTCAAAACGTAAGAAAGCGTGTTAATGTTAAATAAAGCGGCCTTAAATGAAATTCAGAGCAAAAAATACTTGCAAAGTCCCTTACTGGATTATTTTGAAGTGATAAATGAAAATTTTATCATTATATAAAATGAAAAAACAAAATTTGTGTTTAGATAAACCAATTTATGTGGGTTTCACTGTGTTAGAATTGTCGAAATTGCATATGTATAATTTATATTATAAGTATTTTAAGAGCGTGTACAATGATAAATGCGAATTGATTTATACTGATACTGACTCATTATATATGAATATTGAAACTCACGATATTTTTTAATGACATGAAAAAGTATTTCAATGAAATTTTAGATTGTAGTAATTTCGAAAAACATCATTTAATGTACAGTATAAATAATAAAGGCAAATTAGGGTTTTTGAAAAATGAAAACAATTTACCCATCAAAGAATTTGTGGGGTTAAAGTGCAAAATGTATGCATTCTCTTTCGGAAATACATGTAAAAAAAAAGTTAAAAGGAATTAAAAAAGCTAGTGTCGCAGATCTGACCACTGAGTCATATAAAAAGATTTTGTATGATGAAACATTAATGAGACAGTATCAATATACAATTACTTCCAAAAAGCATGATATATGCACTGTTCTTCAAAACAAAGTAGGATTGTCGCCATTTTACGACAAGAAGTTCTTAAAAGCAGACGGCATAAATGCCAATTGCTATGGTCATCATAAAAATCTGCTTTTAGAAGATGAATGTATAGAAAACACATTTTAATATGTAATTATTTTTATATAAACAGCAGTCATTTCAAGAAAATTGAAAAAACTGTTTCATGTATTTTTTTTTTCCTCTACTTAGAATATAAAAAACAACGAAATGTTGTTCCACGTCGATTATTCGACCCCCGAATTTCTTACATCATCATGTAAAAGAAAGAATCTCACTACGAAAGAACTAATCAATATATTTGCCAATGGATTTTATCCACTCCAGTGAAAAACAGGCTACACACAAATATGTTTTTTTTTAATAATTTTTTTGTATGTATATTTTTGAATGCTATGTTTTTTCATGTTATTTTATGTTATTCATATTCTGTTATTATGTATTTTGATTTGTATAGTTACTTTTTTCATGTAAACTAGTTTTTACGATTAAAAAAAAAATAAAAAAATGTAAAAAAAAAAAAAAAAAATGGCAAGCCCCTCAAGGGCTTGCATATTCACGATGAAGAGCAATCTGTCGAAATATATATATCAGATGCTTTTTAACGTGAGTATGCCAGACAGAGGGAAAAAGATATGGTATGAAACTTATAGTATAATTTGTATATTTTTAAAAAATATCTAGTCTGTGTGATTATAAAATAAGAGTGAGTAAAAACATGTTTTGTTAAATATACTTTTTTTTATTTATTGCAGAAAAAAAGAGATTACATAGTTTTTTTTTTTTTTTTTTTTTTTTAACATAATAATTGTTTACAAATGAAGTTCCCGAATAACTTCGTCGTCGGGAAGGATGATGAAGTATCCAATCTCTTCTTTTAGTGCAAGGAACTGTATCTGGAACATCTTCACCGCCGCGTATATTTTGTTTCCCCTCCCCATCATCACACAGTCAAATAAATTGTTAAACAAATTTAGTGATGAGTCATGCAATAACATTTTATCGCAGGAGAGTTGTAGTAGTAAATATCCATATTCATTTGCTTTCGAATGAGCATGAATGTGATTCATCACTTCCGAATTGTTCAAAATTTTAAAATAGCATCGTTTTCCAATCATTTCATTTTCAATTGAATTCCTGATACAGCTAGTAATATCTTTAAATAAAACATTATGCACATAATAATATTCTGTGCCATTGGAATCAAACAACAGATATCCGTAACGTTCCATGTTTCGTCGATGAACTAATGTTTGATGGCTTTGCTCATATATATAAGCGCAGTACAACGTTGATTTCCCCAATGAAATGTGTGGTGGCAACATCTATTCAGTTTAAAATTTTTTCTTCACGAATAGTTTGATAAATTTTTCATTTCTTCTTGTATTTCTTTTGTTAAGATCCTTTAATGTCAAATTTCTTGAATACTGATATAAAAAATAAAGCGTAAAGTAACCGCACGAGGAAGAAAAATTATTCTGAAAGCAAAACTTGTTATAAAATACTTTTTGAGAATTTTGATTCAAAAATCGCAGGATGTTTTTATTTGATGGAGGTAATCCATAGCTGTCGAAATAATACGCTTCATCGTTTCTAAAATAAATAGCAACCCAGTGACTGCCCGGTAGATTTTGAGGATCTAAATTCACTATAAAGCTTCTAAATTGATTTTTTACTTTAGGTAAAATATCCGATGCATATACTCCGCCAAAATGTTCCTTGATTTTTAAATCACTACAAGCTAATCTACACAAACTTATCGTATTCATTTCTCCTTTCGCCACAAGATATTTTTTTTTTTTAGTAATCCGTAAATACACTTCGAGATTTATCAATCTCTATGACATTACGATATTCTGCAAATGCCAATAAAGTGACTGTCTCTGGTAAACTATGGGAAAACTTTATATCGATTCCGATATTTCCATTTTTATTCACGCTTGTATGTGATTCACTTGCCGCATAATCAGGAGTCAAATCAAAAACATAAAGCGTATATCCATTTTTATATTCCTCATAATTAATGTTAATATTCTGAAAATTATGGTAACGGTTTAAATCAGTAAAAAGATTCATATAACATCTTGCATAACAATCCTGTTGAAAATCAGGTTGGAGAGGCTTAGAAGGAATCATTTGACTCCCATTTAATATACAGAGATAATTTAAATTATAATGAGAAAATTGAAAAGGATTTTTTGAAACATTCCCGTTATATGCTTCATTTGATAAAAAAAACCTAAAATGATGCGCGTTGGTAGCTGCCCAATAAATGCATTCATTCGCTATTGTTGTCGATTGTAGTCCATATGATAGAGCAAAGGTCTTAACTTCTATTCGACGTATTGGCATTTTAATCACGCCACTTTCTAACGCTTTTTCATGCGCCAGAAAAACGGAAGGTGAGACGTTTACCTTACGAACGTATAATTTTGCAGAATGAATCACAGTTTTAAATTCGTCGTCTTTGGACATCAAAGAAAAAATGTCTTTGTTTTGTTCTAATTTGATGCGCACATTAACACCATTAATCAGTAGCTTCGGTTGAGTAGCTAAATCAAAATGAAGAGGTCCTATTAAATCCATTAAATTGCTTTTAGCACAAATTTCGTGTCGCTTCTTGTATCCTGAGTTGGTTGAATTTTTGCCAAATACATTATGTTGTGATGCCGTATCTTTATAAAACAATGAGGATGTTAACATATTCTCTTGGCTAGATTTAGAAGAAAATAAAAGACTTTCGAGGATTGAACGATATGCGTAATTTCCCTGTGAAGAAATTTGTCTATCATTGAGGTAAACACTGCACTCGGAAAACATAGTGTTTAGGAAATAATTGATCGGAGCAACATCATCTGTTTCTGTTAAATCGTGTCCGTTTTTTTTTTCACAATCTTTGCCTGTATATGTATAAGAGTATGTGCCAAATCTAGATAATGCTCTCCATTTCCACTTATATAAAACTCTATCGGAGTTTTATCATTCAGCGAGGCCACAGGATGAATTTCTAAAAATGAGGATTCTTCAATGGCAAGTTGTGTTGGTGAAGATGTAAAAAGATCCAGTTCACTTTTTAAGCACATGGATTCCATCGTGAAAAATATCTTTATGCTGTGTTTTTCGACGTTTTGTTTTAGTAGACTGAGTAGATTTTTTGTTTCGCTTTCTTTTTATACCCTTTCCATGTTGTAATTTGTTAAAAATATCATCTTTTATTTTTTTTTGTTGTCTCACGTAATCTAGAGCGCGCCGAGTCTTTTAGAGAAGCACCAGATGCGACGTCTGAAAGGACATTTTTTCCAGTTTGTAGCAAATGCCTGCCTAAATAGCGTGAAGCTTTTAATGCCAATGGAGTAATATATCGCCTCAAATCTCCAAAAATTCCATAACCTCGTTGATGTGCTATACCTTGAAAGTAGGGACCTCCTCCACCAACCTGGGAACAGTAATAAAATTCGCACTCTTTTGCGCTCAAATGCATGTTGTTTCGTTTCGGAAACAAAGAATGACAAAATTGTGCTCAAACTATTTAATTTATAGAGTGTTTCGTTTTTTAAAGGACAACACTACAAACGTTTTTTCCACCAGTAAATATTATATTATTACCACTACTTGTTTTTAATTCAATTTCAATTGTGTCAACAAAATTCTTTCTGATCGGGAAATAAAGCGGTTTATGATAGTGTTTTACTACTTGTTCTTCCTTTTCATTCATACATGGTATAACTCGAAGAAGAGGTGAGTAAGAATCTCCAACATGATGTGGATGTATTAAATCTGTGTAAACAAATATTTCAGTTATTCCAGCATCCAACTCTAGTGGATAATTACTGATATAATTTCCAGCCTTAAAATGCAAGACATTAAATCCTAACATGTCTGCCAGACCTTTTCCGAAATTTACTTCATGTTCGGAAGGAACGTTTAAAAGCAACCTTTTGGTTCGGTAGCTGTTGCAATCGAATGTATTTAAATTCTTCGAATAATTTTAATGCATTTTTATACATTCCCACATTCACTGATATAGATGTTCAGTTTGCATTTCTGTCCTTTTTGTTTGATGATATTCTTTTATAATTAACTCCATTTGTTCTCTCTCTGCTATTAAAATCAACGGGTTGCAAGCGAATCGTTGAGTTCCTTTTATGACTGTATCATGATTCAAATTTAGGTTTTGCATTAGTGAATTAGCGTTGCTTTTTTTCAATACCAATTCGACATAATCTGAAAGTTTAATTTCCACTTCTTTTTTTATTGGTTCATATGAAAACTTAACATAATTCTGAAGCCCCAATAATTCGATATTTTCATTTATGATGCTGTAAGCGTCTTTTTCATTATTTACACCACGCTTGATAGGTGTTGCTGGTATTATATGCGAAATTATATTTTTAGGATTTTTATTTATGATTGTAAATGTTTGTTGCATTTGTCTCTGAACTGTTGGTCTAAACCTGAAAGTCTGATTCTTTTTTATAATTATATCTTTAAACGGCAAATTCAACATATAAAGTATTATGGGAGCTTGTTTTGTTGTAATATGGACTTCAAATCCTTCTTTGACTTCGATTGTAATCCGATTTTTTCTGTCTCCATCGGAAGCAAATCTTACATTCGAGTTCACACTATGTGTCTTTTCAGTTTCTCCATTCACTTTTAACAAAAAATTCTCAAGACTATCTTTTGATTCACACATTAAAGATATGTCATATTGTATATTTTCCATTACTATGCTTTCCTCTTTTTCTAAAAGAAACAGAATATTTGTTGTTATGATCACCAATGTTAAACCAATTTCGCGGAATGAATATCTCAGAAAGTCCTACAACATAATTATTATCATTAAAAATAAGAGGTTTGCAGAGTTTGGTACGATATGAAGATTGAGTGTTTTGTGGGAAATATTTTATGCTGGAATTGCTTGGTAAGGTAACATAAAAATCAGTTACTGCTTCATCCATGATGCTTTTACCCAAGAATTAAAACGATGATCAAATCCTTTCCACTTCACATAGAATTCTTTGTTTTCTCCTGTTCCTTTCGTTTTTAGAATCTTTTCTATTCGCCAAAAATCACTTGATCGCTTGTTCACTTTCTGAAGCTCTTCCTCATAGAACCTTCCTTTTAAAATTTCTTCTTCTTTCAAATCTTTCAACACATATGTAGGAGGATTCGAAGGATATCGTTTAACTATGGTAAATATTTCATCAGTCCAATTAGGTAAATATCCACGACGAAATGTCTTCTTTTCTTTGCTTTCGAAATTCTCACTTGATCACCAATATTGAACTTATATTCTGACTCTATTTGAAAATTGTATAATTTTTTAAAAATTTCAGGTTCCAGTTCAGACGTGACTGCAGCAGGAGCAAAGCCGGTACTGCGGTGCACACTTTCATTATAACTTTTTAAAACAGATTTTAAGATGTCTAAATATTTATAGGAATTTCGATGTGTAAATATGCGATATAATTTAGATTTTAGAGTACGATTAAATCTTTCTACAACACTAGCTTTATGCTCACTATATGAGGAATAATGGTGTATCTTATTCTTTTTGAGTAGTGCTTGTACTTTTTTATTATAGAATTCTTTCCCTTCGTCAGTTTGCAAGTTTACTATTGTCTTTAATTGCTTAAATAATTTTTTAAAAGCTTCAACGAGTGCATCAGCATTTTTAGATTTTATTGGTATCGCATAGCCATATTTTGAGAAAACATCTATCGCAGTTAAAAGATATTTTACACCTTTATTGTATCTAGATACTTTTGACATGTCGACTAAATCACATTGGATCAGTTCACCAATTCCAAAAGATAAAACTTTTCTTCTCTTAAACTTGTATCTTATCGGTTTATGGAGTGTATAAGTGTCTTGTGTCATTAACCATTCTTTAGTCTTTTTTATGGGAATGCCACTCGTTTTTGAAAGACGTAATACACCCCCCCAAATGCTGCTGGATTATTTACATCATAATATATTTTTTCTAGAATTCTAGCCACTTGTTCCGTTTTTAGATCGTGAGCTTTCCATGTTCTTGAATAGGGTCCAACAAGCGAAGGATGACTTCGAGTCTTCTTTCCTTTTAATATTCTACTTTCCGATTCTTGTAAAATTTCTTCACTTCTGCTTTTCTCTCGTGTTAGTTCGCTTTTTGTTTCGCGCAACTTCGATACTAATTTCTTATTTCCTATCCAAGACAGAGGAATATTTATTTCTTTAATAGCTTTTAAAAATTCACTAAAATGATCGGGTTCAATTTGAGATTTTGTATTTCGAAACATGTAGGAGAAGAAAAATCGGCTACTCTGCTGCCTCTGACAGGAATACCATCATGGGTGAATTCTCCCTTTTCATTCCAGTAATATTGTCTTGTTTTAAGTTTTTCAACAATCAGCGGTACATATTTGGAATACTGATGAGGTGATGAAACCACAATATCTCTCACCTTGGGATCGTTGTCGTAATCCTCTTTCAAATGTCTCTTTTTGTCTTCCTTCTCATCATCTAGTAGTTGTTCATTAGTAATGCTTACCCGCACTGGATCTGCGGGGCGTATGAATAGTTTTTTTGATAGCGAGTGATAAGTTGACTTAATAATTTTACTTTCATATCATCTGGTAATTTGTTTCTCTCTAACAAAGTTTCAATATCATCCTCAATGCGAATTTCTGGTTTGTGCAAATGATACGATGAAACCAACTCTTCAGGAATAAGTGCTACCTTTCTCGCCATGATATCCTTTTTCTTTTTTTAAACTGTAATAATGTATATCATGAAATTTTTTTTTTTTTTTTTTGCTTATAGTGTTTGTTCAATATGTTAATAATTTTTCTTTATATTCTTTTACCAATAGCACTCCCAGCAATACCAGCTAAAGCAGAAATGATAGCAGGAGCTATCAGCGGCAAAAAACCACCAGTCGGATTTATTAAAAGTCTTTTTTTACTTTGAATCGAAGACGTTCGTTTGGCCAATCTTCTCACGATATTTTTATATTTTTGAAGTTTTTTTACGTTTACAGGAAGATGTCCAGCTAAAATGTTTAAACAAATTTCGCACAAAGAAGCGATTTGTGCGTTATTTGCAATTCTCAGTAAGGCTCGTTTTTGATTAGGAGATGATTTGGCTAACACTTGTAGAAAATGATAGTTCTTTTTCAAATTCTTTTTCATTTTGGACGGTAAATCCAAAAAACTCCTTCATTAGTAGGAAATAAATTCCCTCGCAGACGATACTCTTCCTCCGTCTCGGGATGTAAATCAATAACTAAATATTTATATGGTTCAGCAGTAGCTTTTATATAAGCATCCAATAAAAATTGTGAATTACGTGGATATATTTGTCTTCCTAGACAATTAATTTGACTCATATCTCTTGCATTTTTAAATAAAATAATGTAATGAGAATTAAGACTAATGTCTCTCATAACTTTTAAACGAGGAAATAAATTTTGTAGTATTAGTATTACACTGATATTGCAATGATGAGATGCGGCTGTGAATAAATCTGCAATTTTTTCATTTAATCGATGCATTAAATCATCTATGATTATCAAATCTCCATTTTCATATACTTCTGGCAACCCGTGTATAAATTCAATATTTGGTTCTTCTAGAAACCATGGTGCACTATATGAATAACACCACTTAATGTTTTGTTTCGGAATATCGAAGATATTATTTTTTATCATTTGTCGAACT